TCGACGTTTTGAACATTCGACGTTTTTAGCATTCGACGTTTTAAACATTCGACGTTTTGAACATTCGACGAATTGAGAATTCGATGTTTTTAGCATTCGATTAACTGAAGATTCGATATTTTTAGCATTCGACTACATGACGATTCGATGTTTTTAGCATTCGACGTTTTTATCATTCGACGTATTGACAATTCGATGTTTTTAACATTCGACGAATTGATAATTCGACGTTTTGAACATTCGTCATATTGACGATTCGATATTTTTAACATTCGACGAATTGATAATTCGACGTTTTGAACATTCGACGTATTGACAATTCGATGTTTTGAGACGCATGCATATCCCCTAATCGCCAAGTCGTCGAATGATCAAATAATCGAATGCCAAGTAATCGAATGGACAAAACGTCGAATGCTAAAAACATCGAATCGTCATTTAGTCGAATGATAAAAACATCGAATCGGCATTTAGTCGAATGTTCAAAACGTCGAATGATTAAAACGTCGAATGCTAAAAACGTCGAATCGTCAATACGACGAATGTTCAAAAAGTCGAATTATCAATTCGTCGAATGTTAAAAACATCGAATTGTCAATACGTCGAATGTTCAAAACGTCGAATGATAAAAACGTCGAATGCTAAAAACAACGAATCGTCATGTAGTCGAATGCTAAAAATATCGAATCTTCACTTAATCGAATGCTAAAAACATCGAATTCTCAATTCGTCGAATGTTCAAAACGTCGAATGTTTAAAACGTCGAATGTTAAAAACGTCGAATGTTCAAAATGTCGAATGCTCAAAACGTCGAATGATAAAAACGTCGAATGCTAAAAACTTCGAATCGTCATTTAGTCGAATGATAAAAACATCGAATCGTCAATACTTCGAATGCTAAAAACATCGAATTGTTAATTCATCGAATGCTTAAATCATCGAATTCTTCATTCGTCGAATGTTCAAAACGTCGAATGATCAAAACGTCGAATGCTAAAAACGTCGAATTCTCAAATCGTCGAATGCTCAAATAATCGAAACGCCATCTGTTCGAAATGTCAAGTAGTAGAATGGTAAAGTAGTCGAATGGTAAAGGAGTCGAAACGCCATCTGTTCGAATTGCCAAGTAGTAGAATGGTAAAGTAGTCGAATGTTCAAAACGTCGAATGATAAAAATGTCGAATGCTCAGAACATCGAACTGTTAATTCATCGAATGCTCAAAACGTCGAATGATAAAAACGTCGAATGCTAAAAACATCGAATCGTCAAAAGTTCGAAAAAGTTCTTTGTCTTCAGTAGACATTAACTTAAAACAAAGAACTTTTTCGAACTTTTGACGATTCGATGTTTTTAGCATTCGACGTTTTTATCATTCGACGTTTTGAGCATTCGACGAATTAACAGTTCGATGTTCTGAGCATTCGACATTTTTATCATTCGACGTTTTGAACATTCGACTACTTTACCATTCTACTACTTGGCAATTCGAACAGATGGCGTTTCGACTACTTTACCATTCGACTACTTTACCATTCTACTACTTGACATTTCGAACAGATGGCGTTTCGATTATTTGAGCATTCGACGATTTGAGAATTCGACGTTTTTAGCATTCGACGTTTTGATCATTCGACGTTTTGAACATTCGACGAATGAAAAATTCGATGATTTAAGCATTCGATGAATTAACAATTCGATGTTTTTAGCATTCGAAGTATTGACGATTCGATGTTTTTATCATTCGACTAAATGACGATTCGAAGTTTTTAGCATTCGACGTTTTTATCATTCGACGTTTTGAGCATTCGACATTTTGAACATTCGACGTTTTTAGCATTCGACGTTTTAAACATTCGACGTTTTGAACATTCGACGAATTGAGAATTCGATGTTTTTAGCATTCGATTAACTGAAGATTCGATATTTTTAGCATTCGACTACATGACGATTCGTTGTTTTTAGCATTCGACGTTTTTATCATTCGACGTTTTGAACATTCGACGTATTGACAATTCGATGTTTTTAACATTCGACGAATTGATAATTCGACTTTTTGAACATTCGTTGTATTGACGATTCGACGTTTTTAGCATTCGACGTTTTAATCATTCGACGTTTTGAACATTCGACTAAATGCCGATTCGATGTTTTTATCATTCGACTAAATGACGATTCGATGTTTTTAGCATTCGACGTTTTGTCCATTCGATTACTTGGCATTCGATTATTTGATCATTCGACGACTTGGCGATTAGGGGATATGCATGCGTCTCAGAAATGTGCCTATTGTGGACTCAACCTTAAACCCCCCCTGAAACTTATTTCTGGCTACGCCTCTGTGACTGAAGAAGAACCAGAAGAACTCGTCGGTTGAGTGGGTGCTAATTCAGACTAGTCGTGAAATACATTGCCGTTTCAAAAAACACGTGAGAAACCTGCCACTTTAGCTGCGATTTGGAAAACATGCCAACTCAGAATTGACGTTCATTTTTTTTTATTTTAGGTTGACATTTGGCAGTACAGAAAAATTGAAGCAAAGATTATAAAGTTGTACAAAAATTATTTTTTTAGTTGCATTTTGCATAATTGTTATTTTTCTTTGAAAAAGGAATATTTTTACTAATTTATTGATTATTTATTATTTGATGGACAACTTCTTTCTAGTACCTAAAATGAACTGTACTCCCGCAGAATGATAAAATGCGCATATTTCCCTCTCTTTTTATATCGTTAAATGTGAGCAATATGGAGCAATATAAGCAAGTGTGAAAACAAAAACAAATCAAAAGGTTATGGCTGTCGTTTGGCACATGTTCCTCTAAAGAAAATCTTTTATTTGAGCAGAATTTGATATGTAGGTACATTTAATAATATTAAGGGGGAGTGACACCTTTGAGGCCTTTTTTGAACTGTTTCTGAATCTGAGATAGATTTAGCTTTCGAGTACGTAGGATATTTTAAAAATATTAATTTTTGTGTATTTGGCAAAAGTAAAAGTAAATTGTTTAAAGTAAAAAGTCGATTTTTAGGGCGAAAATTTGTCAAAAAATCTGTTGCCAAAAAAAATCCACTACGTACTCGAAAGCAATAGTAAATGACGATCAAAAAAAACTTTGTCCGAAGTCAATCCGATCAAAACTGTTCTAGCTAGACTGCCCACCGTTTTGAAAAACGCGTTTAAAGTTTTGAAAACACTTGAAGCGCTCTTGGACACCTTTTGCAGATTTTTTATTTTTCTCACATAAAATAACTTCGAAATCATCTCTAATGATATAATTTCTATTCTATACACATTATAAAGTATCGTTTAAGCAAAAAAAAAAAAAAAGAAATCGATTTTTTTTCGGGTCAAAGGTGTCACTCCCCCTTAATACAACTTATATTATTATAAATTAGCATTTCCGACTTTTAATAAATTTTGTTACTTTGGTAATTCTTATGTAACATTTAAAGTGTTTTATGTATTAAGTATAATTAAAGAAAATTATACAAATTCGTAAATATTTTATATATTGAAAAATATATACTCTTTGGTATATTTTTGCATAAACATATATTATATTTACTATATATTTGTCTTTATGCAGTTTATTAATAGTTATTAATAATATTCTTGTAACTTAACTTCTCGCTTGTTAAGATTTTCTCACTCGCCTTAGTTTACGAGAAAGACAGATTAGGCAATAAGAATTCTCTATTAGAATGATTTCTAATTTTTTTTTTCATTGTATCGGAAATTAATATTAATTCAGTATTAGATGGTTTTTTTTCTGTGCCCAGACGCTTTAATTTATTTGTCATAAAGTTCAGTTAAAGTTTTATATCTTTATGAAACATAATTCAAAATATTTACTATACAACATTATACGAATTTTAAAAATTGCTTAAATCGTATTCTACTTTGACAATTTTTCGGAAATGAATATTTAATATTAATTAAAATTGTCAAAGTATAGAATACGATGTATTGTAAAATTAAAAAGTTATGTATATATACATTACCAACACCTTTAAGCAATTTTTAAAATTCGTATAATGTTGTATATTAGATATTTTGAATTATGTTTCATAAAGATATAAAACTTTAACTGAACTTTGTGATAAATAAATTAAAGCGTCTGGGCACAGAAAAAAATCCATCTAATACTGAATTAATATTATTTTCCGATATTAAAAGGTAAAGGGCAATAATGATCTAAATTTAACATATTTTTTCCAAGTATAAAACCAAATGTAGTAACGATTTTTATTTTGTTAAATGATAATAATGCGTGTACATTGTTTAACATAAAATTTAAAATTTATTTAAGTTATGAAAAATGAAAAACTTCTATTAATTTATAAAAAAAACACAAAGAAACTAATAAAGCCATAACTCCTTTTTTTATAGTTATTATTTTCACGTTTTCTTCAAAATCATAAACTTTGCGAATACTCTTGGCACGTTTTTCTCCATTAATCAGAAACTGTGTTATTGTAAAAAAATCATTTTATCAACTAGAAAATAATCATTTTTAGCCTATCAGAATGCATAATTTATAATGAATTTTTAAATTTGCGCTAATTTACAGTGTAAACCTAATTCTATGTTCGACGCAACGCAGCCTGTGTATAACATGAAAGTTACACCTTTTAATAGTATTCGACTGTTAGGTCATGTAATCGTCGTAGCTTAAATTATCGACGATCATGTAACATGACAGCTATTATTATTTTTAAGTAGTTACAGTTAATATGTAAGACATAATTATGATTTTTTTTCATTAACACAGAGCAGAAAAAATAATTTATATTCCAGTAGACATCATATTTTAAAATTATAATTATAATTTATGGTTACAACAATGCATAACTGTACAATCTTAATTTAACATATTTTGTAGTTATTAGTTTATTTTATTATTTATTTCAATATAATGTATATACATAGACATTGAAATTTATTGTATTTTTTAAAATTAAACTTAGTTGCCATAAATATATATTTTTTAAATTTAAGTTTTAATTTTCTAAAAAATAATTTAAACTTCTATTTAAAGTTAAATTATAATTTATTTAGAAAGGTGAAATAGAATTAAAGAATTTAACAGGGAAAATGCAGTTTATATTATCTTACTTTTAGAAAAGTAATAAAATGAGAAGACGGTATTTATAACACATACTGAAAGTGTAAAAAACTTGTGTTTTTACTACGATTAACAAAATTTGTAGTGGTGAATTAAGTTAATACTTTTAATATTAAATATTATATTTTTAAGTCGGACGGTTTATTTTACTTTTATAAATTATTATATTTTGAATACCTAATGTATAAAATTTAATGAAAGGCAGAGAATTTTTTATAATTAATTATTTAAACGATTCAAAGGGGGCGAATGTTTACGTTGACGTTTGGAGTAAAGGAGCTTCTACAACGAGTCCAAAGGTAAGTTTAAAATGTGTCATCAATTTTTTAAATACACTGAGAAAAGTGGATATTAAAAATCTTAATATATTAGATATTAAAAAAAGATGGTATTGCATAATATCTAGATGTTATGGTTTAATATCTCAGATGTCTTTTCCAATATCTGTGGATATTAAATTTAAACATCCAAGATGTTTATGTATTTGACTGTCACAGATATTGACCGTCAATATCTAGATATTAAAGCTCAATATCTATTTTTCTCAGTGTACGTAAATAAATTTACCCTTATTTTCGTCCGTCTAAAATTATTTTTCAGGCAATTTTATTCTAATAGAATCTATAAATGTCACTTGTCCTAATTTGATAGGTGGTAATTGTGCAATTTACAAATTCTATTATAAAATAAAATTGCTTGAAAAAGTAATTTTAAACGAAAGAAAATTTACGTATTTAAAGTAGCTACTCAATTACACTTCTCATAAAAGCGCTGTAACGAATCACCCACAGCAATTGATGCACTTACCCTAAAAATAATAAAATTATTTGAATTACATAACTTTAATTCGGTTCATTATTGTCAGATTTTTAAAAATACAGTAGAACCTCGATAAGTCGAAGTTGAAGGGGAACACTGAAAACTTCGAGTTAAAGAGGTTTCGACTTATAGAGGTTTCTGAAAATATAATTCGACATAATATAGAGGTTTTCACATACTATATATTTGTACACAATAGAAAAGTTTCTATACGTACGTTTGTTATTATATTATTATTAACATTATTCTTAATAATAATAATAATAATTCTAAATTCAATACAGGAAACACTGTTTGATAACAATTGTATTGTATAAGAGGCATTCCATTTCAAAACGACCCCCTTCGTAAACAATTAAATTAAATTATTTTTTAAATGAATATTTCTTCCATTCTGTAGAACCAAATTACTTTTTATATTAGTGATTTTGAAAGTAGAATTTCTGAACTTTCTAAAAATAAAAAAATATATTCTTTTAATAATTTAATTTAAATAGAAAATTGAGTTTAAAAGTTAAACTTTGAGAAATCTCAAAACACGTTACCTCCGATTTTAATAAAATTCATATCAAACGAAAGCTTGAATATTCTACTTTTTATTTATCAAGCGATAATAATGGGCATTTCAGTGGATTTTAAGAAAATAATTAAATTTTACAAACATTTCGAAGGTTATATTGAGAGAACCATTTATTAAGTATAGGGCGGCATTTGTTTTTCTCCATTTATGCATAATAACCTTCTAAATGTCTGTAAAATGTAATTAATTAATTAAAATTTACTGAAATGTCCATTATTATCGCTTGATAAATAAAAAGCAGAATATTCAAGCTTTCGTTTGATATGAATTTTATTAAAATCGGAGGTAACGTGTTTTGAGATTTTTCAAAGTTTAACTTTTAAACTCAATTTTCTATTTAAATTAAATTATTAAAAAAATATATATTTTTATTATCAGAAAGTACAGAAATTCTACTTTCGAAATCACCAATATAAAAAGTAGTTTGGTTCAACAGAATGGAAGAAATATTCATTTAAAAATTGTCTTTCATTGTCAATTGTTTACGAAGGGGGTCGTTTTGAAATGGAATGCCTCATAAGCTTCGAGATATAGAGGTTGCGAAAAACAAAACCTTCAAGTTATAGAGGATAGAGGTTGCAAAGTTCGAGTTACAGAGGTTTTTGGGCTTCTAGGGAAGGGAATGGACATTTTCTTCGACTTATAGAGGTTTTCGACTTATCGAGGTTCTACTGTATGTAGTTTACCATTTTGTATAAATTTGTATTTTTAAAAAATTATAAACATAATTTGCCTTTCATAGTGTTTTACCCGTTTAAATATTTTAATTAGTACATTATATGAAAGCTTTGCTACAGTTAAAATGTATTCTATATTTATAGGTGAAATTTCAATGCTTTCGATTTAATTACTAAATTTGGTAGAAAAAATTAAGTAGTATAGATTTTCATAATCAAAAGCACTAAAATCTCTATAACAGTCACGTGTTTAGCAGAAAATTATCATTTAATGATAAAACATCATGACTTTCAGTCATACTATCACAAAATAATTATTTACACACAGAAATCGTATTATTGCAAAATAGATTCCTTTTTTTTTGTTCAATATATAACATTTGTGGCGTTGGTGTTGCATTGGGACGTTACAGCTTCTTCTAAATTAGAGTCTAATTTTCTGTAATTTGCTGTACTTGGTCGACGTCTACCACGTCCATTTCGTGATCTTCTTCCTTCCAATAAAATTGCCAGAATCTACAAAAAGAATAATATTTTAATATCAATGTTCAAAAATTTTAGAAAAAAAAAAATTTTTTTTTTTAAATTTTAGAGTTTGTAAACACAAAAGAGAACATGAAATAAAATTTCTTTATGCAAACAGTTTAAGGATATTCGGGAAAAGTCTTCTTGTTTAAATGACCTTCTGTATAGCCAAATATCCAGTGTAATTTGCGTATGGTTTGGTTATTTTACGTTCCAATAATATTTCGGGGTGACTTTTTTTTATTATAAGAACATATGTGACCTGGTAAGTTAAAATGGACCTTATATCAAAAAAATAAATTTTCACTTATTTGGTGATTTTTATAGAAAACGATATTATGCTCTTTTCATCGCAAAAAACAAATCTGACATCGGATTTTGAATTTTGAAAATCTGATGCCAGATTCGTAGTCAGCGACCCCAAAACCCCCGCAAGTAATAAATTTCAGACATATTCAAAAAATTTTTTATTTTGTCCGTCATTTTGAATTTTGGAAATCTGATGCCAGATTTGTAATCAGCGAAAAAAGAAAGGTTTTAAATTAAAATCTTTGGAAATTTGAATTTTTCATACTTTTAACAAACAATTCTGTAGAATTAATTTTTTTTGAGAAAGTCTAATTGTGGATTTTTTTAAAAATTATTTTTATCCCACATGCACAAAAACGGCGCTTTCTGATAGCAGCCGACAGGGAGGAAAGTCATTCATTTCTTCGACCGTATGAAAATGGCGGCCGTGTTCTCCCAAGGGCAAGAAAATTAGCTGTTCACATGCATTTTTCTTGCCCAAGGGAGAAATCGGCCGCCATTTTCATACAAATCGAACAAGTGAATGACTTTTACTCCCTGTCGTCTGCTATCTGAAATCGCCGCTTTTGTGCATTAGGAATAAAAAATATCGTAAGTAACACGAGAATAAAGGCAGCCAATTTCTTTACAATGATTTTTGTGACACGAGTGGAGGTCGAGGGCGCCGTAGGCGCCCCGAGACCGGAACGAGTGTCACAAAAATCACCGTAAAGAAATGGCTGCCTTTCTCCTCTTGTTGCTTAATATACTATTAAAGTTTTTATTTTCTAAATATATTTAATTGAAGAATTATTTACGAATAATTGAAATTTTTTAAAATTGAATTGTAAACAAATGAATTTGAAAATTCTCAATGAATTTTTTCAAAAATTATTAAAAATAATGGATTTATAGAAGAATTTTAGTTAAAAACACGAAAAAAAATTTAATTTTGGAAAAGTTACAAATTATTGCAGAAATTCAATTATTTTCAAGAATATAATATTTTTCGCAAAAATTAAATATTCTTAAAAAATAATAAAATTCTTCTTAAGGATTCAATATTATTTTCACAAATAATAAAACTCATCACAGAATTTCAATTATTTTTAATAATAATTTTAAATAATTTGTGGATAACATTCTTTAACAGAATTGAATTTTAAGAAACATTCAATTATTCAACAAATTATTTATTTTTGTATTTAAATAATTGAATTCTAGTAGAATTTTCTAATAAAAATTGATTTGAAAATTAATTTCTGTTAAAATTTTAGATAATAATTGAATAGATATTAAAAGCAATATAGCGTGAATTTGTAAAAATAAATGAATTTTGAAATTAATTTTTTTGAAAAAGTTTTCGAAAAATTGAATATTGTAAACAAATGGATTTGAAAATTGTCAAAGAACTTTTTCGAAAATTATTAAAAGTAATCGATTTAAGGAAGAGTTTTAGTTAAAAATTCTTGTAAATAATAATTGACATGTAAATGATTTTATCACTCGGTCATCTTTTATTATTATAAAAAATTTTAATTTATAATTTTAAGTACAATGTTCTCTTATTTGACTCGGACTGGTTATATTTTTATCAGTAATTGGTCCGTAAATGGTCCATAAAGTTCGTATTTTAAAATACTTTCACTGGTTCGAGCCCTGCATTTTCCTAATACACATTATTTTTTCTACTGTAGATGCAGCCTTAAGTTTTACCCTCCTCAGTGTAAATTTTATTATTCTTTTTTCTCCGTGTACTTTTAAAAAATTTAAATTTTAAAAATTTACATATATAGCTCAAAACTTTGATGCCTATAAAAAACAAAAATATATGTTTATCTATTTTTCTATACACTGAGAAAAATAAACATAACTGAGTACTGCCCAGACAGGAATGATCCCTGACCAAAAAATTTTTTTCGTTTAAACAGTACTCTTTGCATTCTGGACAGGAACCATTCCTGTCCAGACCTAAATGGCAACTCGCCGCATTCAAAAAATCAGTGTACATATAATAATCATTAAAAACATTTAACCTTAAATCATCTTAGATTTTATTTTATTAGAAAAGGATTTTCAAACTGGGTCAATCCATTTTGTAATATTGTAATATTCTGCAGAAATGATTTTAATGTTACTAAAGTTACAAATGAAAAGATTTTTTCAAAAAAATGTTATATCTTTATAATTTTTTTTCAGTATAAAATAATTATAAGGCATACAATTTAGTACAAAAATATAACAAAAATTATTGGTATATGTTAAAAATGCCTGAATTTATTATTATAAATAGTTATAAGCATTTAAAAATATAAAATAATAAATAAAATATTGTTTCAAAGTTTATCACACGGAGAAACTTTTTCTTCTAATATTAAATATATTTGGTTATCTTTATTCTAAAAGTACGTTAGAATGTGAGGATTTTTCGTGCGTTGTGCTAATAATTTCAACATTAATACGAAAATATGATAAGTTCGTTACACTGGTTTACAGTGAAATTGCCAATTGAACAAAACATTTTTTTTTCGAATAGTAGGTGTTTGTTGAGTAAGAAAATCATAGTTTTAATTTTTTTCCCTCGCGCAGTTTTTCTGTAGCTTCAAATTTTGCATTTTCGAGGTGCGGCGCCAGTTAAACTTACCTGTAGGAAAATTAGCTTGTCAAAATATAATAAATGAGGTATCATTGGAAAGGTTATTAAATTACCTTTCGATCCATAGGTCACAGAATAGAATTCAACAAAAATTTATAGAGTTACAGTCGATTAAATATGAAATTTCATGACAATTTTGATGATTTTTAGACATTTGAGTAACTTTTACTATTTTTTTCTACATCAAACAGGAAAGAATGTTTAGGTTTTAATTTTTTTATTGCTAGACTATATCATTACAAAAATTTTGAGCCCTTGTGGACCTCGATTGGATAAAAAATGACAATTCTACACTAAATTTAGTGAACGAAACTACATTCTTCATTTTTAGTATCCCTTAAACATTTGCAGCAAAAATTCAAGTAATAAAATTTGGTTAAGTGCTAAAGTTACTGAAATCACTAATCAAGAGTTTCTGAAGTCGTAGATTTCGAATGGAATGTTAGTTTTGCAAATTTCAAAATGCGGATCGAATATGGCGGACAAGTTTTTAAAAATCGATGAAATTCTTCTCAAATTCGTTACTCGGGGGTTTTTGGGGTCGCTGATTACGAATCCGATGTCAGATTTCAAAAATTGAAAATTATGGATTCATAATGGTGATCGAGTTTTTTAAAATCCATCGAATTCGCACCTACTGGATCCGCCATTTTTAATTTTTGAAATCTGACATCGGATTCGTATTCAGCGAAAAACCAGCGAAAGCCAAAAACTTCAGAAACTCTTGATTAGTGATTTCTGTAACTTTAGCACTTAACCAAATATTATTACTTGAATTTTTGCTGCAAATGTGTAAGGGATACTAAAAAAGAAGAATGTAGTTTCGTTCACTAAATTTAGTGTAGAATTGTCATTTTTAATCCAATCGAGGTCCACAAGGGCTCAAAATTTGTGTAATGATATAGTCTATCAATAAAAAAATTAAAACCTAAACATTCTTTCCTGTTTGATGTAGAAAAAATAGTAAAAGTTACTCAAATATCTAAAAATCATCAAAATTGTCATGAAATTTCATCTTTAATCGACTGTAACTCTTTCAATTTTTGTTGAATTTTATTCGGTGACCTATGGATCGAAAGGTAATTTAATAACCTTTCCAATGATACCTCATTTATTATATTTTGACAAGCTAATTTTCCTGCAGGTAAGTTTAAGTGGCGCCGCACCACGAAAATGCAAAATTTGAAGCTACAGAAAAACTGCGCGAGGGAAAAAAATTAAAACTATGATTTTCTTACTCAACAAACACCTACTATTCGAAAAAAAATTGTTTTGTTCGATTGGCAAAAAAAAGTTTTTAATTTGTAAACCTGTGTTATATATTAAGCAACCTTCGGTGTACAAAAATTACTATCTGCATTAGAAATAGTCTTATTTTTCTTTAGAAAAGAATAAAATGCTAGTTTTTGTTTGTGAAATAATACGGTAATTCTAACCTTTTTTCCACATATAGATAGAATATATAACAGACATTCTAATTTCTAACGTAACATACCAATTTTGGAAGGACTGCGGGCGGACTTAACCGATTTCGCCCGAGCATCACCGAGTCCATCACCTGACGTCGCGAACTAACCCTAATGTTTTCGAAGATGAAATTCACACGTGTATGAAAGAAAAAAACCTTTTATTAATAAACGTGAATGTCTCCTCATGCCAAATTAAATTCAAGAACTGTTCCTCAATATAACATAATTTTTTTCACGACTTTTACTTATTTACATAATTTGATTAGTAAGTTATTTTAAAAAATGCTCTCTCTCGAAGGCACATATTTTTCCACTCGTTTAATATATAAGGACGATTCAGCTGTGTACTTCTAACGAATCGTGCGATCTTTCGGTTTCCGTGACCAATCGTCGTGTCTTTACTTGCGTGTGCGTGTGTGCGTTAATAATATAGGTTAGGTTCTTACGTCGTGTTAAATATATTTACCTACAGTTACAGTGACATACACTAATGCCATCTACCATCAGATCCTAGTATCACTATCGTCTCTATGAGTATCTATAGACAATTAATTTGTTGTGTTTCTTTTTAATTCATG